TATATGTATGTGCACTACAAGAACTCTTTAAACGGTCAAATAATTTACAACGTAACCGTCTATAGTATTCATAGAATAATAAGGTCCAATTCTAATTCATTTTATTAATATAGGTTTTAAAATTTTCTTAAGTTGTGAGTACCTCATGGCTCATGCTTAACGTCCTTAGCTCCTCACCGCTGTGCATAAGACACACTGTATAATTGGGAAGAACTAAACTCCATTTTTTCTGCGGCATGTATTAAGCAGTTTATAATTATATTTTCTAAATTAAATAATGGATCGGATAATACAAATTGAATAAAATATTGTAAGGTCATGTTGTTATGTACAATAGTACAAATAAAATACAATCACAACGTTAATTATAAAAAATTTCCTGAGTACTTCGTACTAAATTAAACTATCTGTCATTTGTATAGTTCTATTTACATCACTATGCTTTATATACCACTATGTTATTGACTATAGAAAACCTAATGAATAGTAACATATGATGTTTTAATTGAATAATTCTTATAGTTATATACAAGTAGGATACATAAATGTTGCTGGTGATGATAATGATTTGAACATTACTATATCAATATAAGAATTGATGAGGTAGGTTCTGCCTTTCTCTTTAGTTGCATTTCATGCTTTAATTTGAATATCAGCATTTGACAAGAAAAAAAAAAGAATATCAGCATTTGACAAGTCCATCAATATGGAAAGAATATTAGGTATAATTTTCCTTGTTTTCAGCTTTACCACATTTTTTTTTTAATTTTATTGGTTTATTCTAGGGCAGAACTTCATTAAGGCTCGCAGAGACCAATCCTTCCTAATAAATTATTTTAGCTATCATATATAAATATATATATACTTATTCTATTTTTTAATAGTTGCAACACTTTTCTTTTCACGTGTGCCGATGCATGATTTCAATCGTTAATATCTTTAATTTCTAATATGTAAAAAGTATAAACATTTGATATTAGAATAGCATAAATCAAGACGAATATAACAAGATTCCCACATGACTATATTTTTGCTTAAGTATAAATCATCAATGATAGTCAAAGTAAAACACAACCATGAATAGTGTAAAAGTCAAATTGTTGCAACTATAAAAATAAATGCTACCTACATACGTATGTGACAATGATTTATTCTATCTAGAGGTTGAATGCTTAAACGATTCCTAGTCCTTTGTCAATTTTTCTAGCTTTGATTGAATGAATAATTTGTAAAATAATTTAAAATATTGTATGTAGTAATTAAACTAGAATCTCACTTATGGATAGAAAAATAATGGTCATATATCTTTGTAAAACTTAACAAGGATAGTTACTAAATTTCCTCAAATTTCTAAAAGGTGCATGCTTTAATAAGAAGTCCATGGCTAAGCAAACAATGTTCCCTCTTCTCTTCTTCATCACAACGCTCACCCTCGTTACTCCCACAACTAGCCAGGACAGCCCTAACATCTTGGGCTGGAGCTGCGACTACACAAAGGGAAACTACACTGAAATAAGTGATTATTACTCTAATCTCTTGAATGCTTTCTCTAAGCTAACCTCCTTATCCTCTTCCAAAACCTTCTCAACCTTCATTGCAGGCACAGACAAAGATGCCACAAACAAAGTCTATGCCTTGTATGATTGTCGTGATGACCTTACACTCCAAACATGCCATGAATGTGTCGAGGATGCCACAAATAATCTCTTACAAATGTGCTCCACAAAAGAGGCCATAACTATATATGCGGTATGTCATGTTATGTACATCTTTCATATAGTGATGTATCTAATAACTAAACTCATCCTTCACGTAAAGAATTAGGTGCGTAGAATTTTCTTAATTAAGCTAAGTGAGATAATAATAGTGATTGAGATAATTGAGATGGATAACTTGGACTAAAGAATCAGAATATAGACATTCTACATACTTGTATTAAATATATATTTGGCCACATGGGATATTGTAGACTATATATTATACAACAAGGTATATAATTATGCAATAATTATCTTCTTATAGAGAATAATCAAGGGACAACTTCTATATTCCATAATCCTTGGGAAAAAAAAGTTTGCCACTTCTATTTTATCCCATGTGTTTGATCATCTTACACTAGAATTTGGCATCTCTAATTGTTCTTTATGGCAGGAATGCATGTTACGCTATGCTAACCGTCCGATTGTTGGAATGATGGAGATCACGCCTATATATATTGACGTTGGATATTAAAGTTGTCCGATGAAGGCATGTTGAATCGGACAATTGAGCCAATCTTCAAAAGGTTGATAGAAGAAGCCACATCGGAAAATTCGTCGTGCTATTTTGGAGTAGGAGAAGGGAGTTATTTTGAATATCCGAATATATATTGTTTAGTGCAATGCACTCCTGATATTAGTAAGGAGCAATGTAAGGAGTGCCTAATGGATGCCTTAACTTATACGCTAAAGTGCGCGAATGGTAGCCAATTGACAAGCCTTCTCAATGCCCCGAACTGCCAGATGAGATGCGGTATTGAACCTTTCTATGATGTTTCATCAAGCCTTTCAGTTCCACCAGTGGCACCTCCAAATTTGTCACCGCAAATAAAGACTGGTGATGGATGTCATTGTTTGATTTCAATAAAAACCTTTGTTTTTGTCATCTTCTTTTTTCTTTTGTTTAATGTAATGTAACAATACTAGATACATATATAAATCTTGCAACGCACAGACTATAAAATTCCGGTTATGATATATGTTGGTGTGTTTAATGATTGATACGATGAGTAATTATCCAGGCGTTTATAGTTCAATTTATGCAACTTTAAAGATTGCATATATCATTTGTATATATTATACGGAACATTATCATTTTCCTTGAATCTATTTGTTTATTAATTTCATTTAGAGTTTGTAATGGAAATATCTTATCATTATTTCAAGTTTAAGGGTATACTTGCACATTTTATTAATTATAAGTGACAAAGTGTCCATCTATATTCAATACATACTTATATTGCATGGAGACAAGCTTAACCATGATAATTATTCCCTTGACAATATAATTATATAGGTGATTGGTAGCAAAAATCCTAATTCAACGTGACGTAATACAATATAGAACCATATAAATATATCTCCTAAATTTGTTAATTAAAAGATATAAACATACATTTTGGTAGTGATGTCAGTGGAGCGGGTCAAATAGGAGATCTGCCCCATCCTTGCCCTAATCTCCCCGCTCCTTGGGGCAGGGACGGGTTCTAGTTTGGCGGGTGATGGGGCGGGGATAGGGATCAAAACCATACCCGCCATGGGTGAAGGGGCGGGGGTGGATATTAGGTTGTACCTGCCTCATCCCCGCCCCGCCCACCCCTCCCCACTTCGTACCCGCCCCATCCCCACCCCATACCCACGTCTATATATTTTAAAAAAAAAAATTGTTTACTTTTATATTTTTTTTGTATTAAAAATATTATGTAAAATAAAAGTAGTAAATATAATAAATTCTAGTATACATATATTAAAAAAAAAAGGTGTAATATTAACAATGAATTTTTTATTCTAATCTATGTTATGCAGTATTGTTGAATTTGTAAGGGGGGATTAGGCGGGTCTTGGGTGGGGATTAGGTGGGGGTGAATATCCAAGTGGGGGATGATTTTGGAATTGTATCCGCTGGGGCGAAGATGGGGATGAATTTTGGACTCGTCGTGGGAATGGGGATGAGCTGAGTATGTTAGGCGGGGATAAGGATAGGAAAGCCAACATCCGTCCCGCCCCGCCCGATTGACATCCCTACATTTTGGAGCATTGAACAGGCCACATACATGACTATAGTCAAATCATAACACAAATGTTTTATTAATATTCGATCGAGCAATAATTAATAACATAAGCAATAATGGACAATAATAGAGCATAAAACATATTCATGGGCCTCAAACATCAACTTAATTAACCTTTTGGTTGTATTGATCCTTTAACATGGTATCAGAGCTAACGTGACACAAAGGTCACGGGTTCAAATCTCATCCACCCCCACTTTCAAGTGAAATATTTCGCGCTAGATATGGGAAGGGCTCATGATGCATCAACACTTCAAGCCCAACAAATTCTCGTGTGAGAGGGCGAGACAGAGTATAAAACATATTTTTGGAACTCAACCATTAACTTAATCCTTTGGTTGAGTTAGTCCATCTAAATGTAAGTATGTATATGGCTAAATTAAATTTTTTTTGCTACCATGCCCCTTTATAATATAGAGGAATTATTTATATTATTATCAATTGGTTTTAGTATCCGTGAGTCTTATTTTTAAACCGAATACTACTACTCCTTGATGATGGTATAATCCCATTCAAACATGGAGGCTTAAATCAAAGAGTCATCTTTTAGGATATAGTTGATAAATATGGTTGATCGTATTCATGAGTCATGCAGTATATATATATCCAAATATGTCACCCCCTCAAAATGGGAGGGGAATTCGGGGAAGTTTTGAGTAAGGGAAATATGTACAAACATGACACGACGCATGCATGGACGGCATGGCATAAGCTGGAATTTGTTTTAGCTAGTAATTGTTATAAATTAAAACTACTAATCAAGAATCAAGAGTCAAATTATGACAATAATAAAGGTAGTATTTTTGTTGACTTCCCTATATTTAAAATATTATAAGCAGTTTTTTTTCATTAAAAAAGTTTATCTTTTCGGTCACAAAATATTTTCAAGATTTGAAAGTTCATGCTTATTTGATCAGTTCGTAGGTAACCATATATTTTGATTACCTATAGTAATTGTTTATTTTCAGGTTTTATAAGTTGGAATATAGGGAATAATTTACTACAGAATATAAACTACCAAGTAGTACTTATCATTTTTATTATAAAAAATTTTCTAGGTTTAATAAATTTTGGTACAAACCCATTTCACTAGGTAGATTCCGAAATAAACTTTCTTAAGTGAAAATATTTTATAAGTTCTATGCTTGTATTAGCTTTGAAAATTTCATAAGTTCATATGGCATGGAAAATAATCTTCATCCTACTCCTTTTGTTCTCCATAACACTTACCCTAATAAGACCCACAACTGCTAAAGTGAACCCTCTTTTCTTAAGCTCAACTTGTGACTACTCAAAGGGAAACTATACTAAAAATAGTCCCTACTATTCAAATCTCTTACATACCTTTGCTAATCTTAGCTCCCTCTCCGCTTTCAATACTTTCTCCAACTTCACTTCAGGCTCGGGTGAGGATGCCACAAACAAAATTTACGCCTTATATGACTGTCGGCTTGACCTCACACTCCAAACATGCCAGGATTGCGTTAAAGATGCCGGAATAGAGCTGTTGCAGAGTTGCCCGTCGAAAGAGGCCATAGCAATATATGCGGTATGTAATATATAAAACATTATGTTGGTGTTTATAGCCATAGTTGTGTAAAGGTTTTTTTTTTTTTATTTTTTTTTTAACACAGAATAAGAAACCAATTGCAATTGAAAATTTAGGACGAATTCAACCTAACTCATTTTAATTTTACTAATAATAGATATGAAATACACAATATTGTATATGAGGTATGTTAATTTTTAACAATATACTCGTATAATACTTCATATTTGTTCAATTTTGTTGCACGGACACTGTATATAATACTTCATTCATTCTATTTTAATTTGAAAATACGGTAGTTGACATTTTCATGCATGTCAATGTACATTCTATAAAATTAATATCTATAATTATATAATTTTTTTCTAGTGACGTGGAGTGCATGTATTATCACTTATTCTTTTGTGATACATCCCTAGGGTAGGGTACTACCGTACTAGAGTATATGTTAAGAAACATGCAATGTGATATTTGATCAATTTAAAAGGTGTAGGGTTTGTCTTCGTTCATTATAATCTTCAAGGAATTATGTAATGATTTTTTCATATATTGATATGGATGGTAATTCACATTTCAATGTTAAGTGACGATCTCATTAGTTTTTAAAGCAATTTCATTATTCTCTATGGTAGGAGTGCATGTTACGGTATGCAAACCGTCCGATTGTTGCCATGATGGAGCTAACGCCCCCTCAAATTATATGTGGGGTTGGGGTTACTATGGCTGACGAAGGTGTGCTGAATCGGACGATTAAGCCGATCTTCAAAGGGTTGATAGAAGAAGCCACATCAGAAAATTCATCGCGGTACTTTGCCACTGGAGAAGGGAGTTACTTTGAATACCAGAAGGTATATTGTTTGGTGCAATGTACTCCTGATATTAGTAGGGATCAATGCAAGATGTGTCTAATAAAATGCCTTGAATTATACGCTTAATTGCGCGAATGGTAGCCAATTACTAAGCGTATCTAATGTGCCAAGATGTGTCTAATGCGCGAATGGTAGTACGTACACAATAAAAAGTACTACTAGCCATGTTCTTATCACAAACATAAAATGATCGATTGAGAAAGTTAAGGAGACATTATACTTTTCTCAAAGCTTATTTCATAGAGGCGTATGTACCATGCATGGTACATACGTTTAATTAAGAAAAAGCAGAATAAACATATTATAAAATGTAATGAACATTTTGTTACAGTGAAAAGAACATACTATTAAAACGTAATGAACATATACATAGAGTGAAAAGAACATACTATTAAAATATAATGAACATATACCTAGAGTAAAAACAACATACTGTTAAATAATGTACTTTATCTCCATGTTCTTTGATTGTTTGTATAATGTACTTTTATTTATGACATAATGTTCATTGTTTATTTTGAAATATTTTTTGAATTTTGTCTATAGATTATGGTGGTTGAATAAAAATAATGTTCATTACATTATATTATCATGTTCTTTATTAATATTACGGATGTTCTTTAGATATACAAAAATAACATAAAGCTAAGTGTTCTTTATAAAACAGCTATATGTTCTTTACAAAACAGCTATATGTTAACTACAAAACAACTATATGTTCATTGCGCCTTATTTAAAAAAAAAAATAATTAAAATTCTGTATGCACCATGCCTCCAAGAAGAAAATTTCACACTTTTCTTGCCTTTAGAGTCGGTTCAATTTGGTAATTACCTCAATATTATGTTTACCAAATAATTAGTGAGTGCTTCTGTTGAAGATAAAAATAATCGAATACGGCAGGCCAGGGTATTCGTATACGGCTACGTGTGGTCCGTTGAAGATAATAAAATCCTAATTATTTAGGAATATTCCATCTATGTTATTACATACTACAATATTTTAATTTATTTTATGGAAGATTATTATGATATAGAATTCAGTTGTACCGTCTATTTTTTATTTTCCTCAGGATGGAATTTATAAATTATTCATGAAACTATTATAATCAGAAGAAATCTAATAGTTATTGTCATAATCACTCTTGCATTATAGAATCAAGTTGGAGTTTAGTTGGGATAATTTAAGTATTGTTTTTGCACATGGTTGGAATGTGGTACATTTCAATTCCTAGGTCAAACTTATTTGAATCGAAGTTACATCCCTCCCACTTCAAACCAATAATGAAATAGCTAATAATATAAATATTTTTTTATACATATTTTGATGATACTTAAATGTACAAGATCAACATGCATCCTTTTTTGCTTGTTAAATATGATGCTAAGCACCCTAAGACCTGGAAATATTAAACACGAACCAACGACCTTTAGATTTAAACGCGAACCATGGTTTCATCACCTTTTCATGGCTTCCACATAATATGTTGGTTCCTTCTTATTTTCACTTTCTGTCTTAAATGTGTTTCTTCAACTACTGAGGCGACTAAGGAGTTTGTGAGAAATGATTACATATGCGACGATACCATGGGCACCTACACCAGTAATAGTACTTTTAGTTCAAACCTTAAACTTGCATTTTCCAATCTCACTACCCTCTCTTCTTCACGCATCTTCTCCAACGTCACGATCGGATCTGATGAGGCTGACAAAGTCTACGCCCTCTATGACTGTCGGAATGATATTTCTCTAGATAAGTGTCACCGCTGCATTGAGGACGCCATCGAGAGTATTCTAGATCTTTGCAATGCCCAACCTAAAGAGGCCATTGTCATGTATGAGGTAATGAAAAGTGTAATCGTTCATGTATATACTTTATGCAGATTTCCATTCCGTTTATATGAAATCATATAGAATGACAATAATTATAAGAATTTTTTGTAAGAAATTACCTAATAAAACCTAGATTTTGTGAGAAACTATCTAGTAAAAGGTACAGAGTAAAATATTTAAATGCTGGACAATTTTACAATGGCTACAATAATATTGTAGCCATTGTAATCTTTCAATCTCAACCTTTAAAATTTGGTATTAAATCTTAACCATTCAAAGTTGACACTTTTTCTTTTTTTAATATACAATTAGTAAAAATTACGGTAGTTTTTTTTTTTCTTGAAATAAAATTAGTGATAATCATAGATCGATTACTTTTAAGAAAAGCCTAAAATTATTTTCCCCTATCCTTTCCTCCATTGATATACGGTTTCATTCCGAATCTCGACTTTAGTATGATGTATTTTTGGTGATATTTTGTTTTGCGGGATAGAAGATATAGAGTAGTTAATTGTGGAGGATAAAATATCTAATATTCCTATTCTCAATGAAAATGCAAAGTTAAGTATGTTCATTTTCTACTATACAATTAATGGAGATTGAGAGATTTGCCAGGTAAATGAAAGCAAAAAACTGCTTGTTTTGGCGATTTTTTTTTTTTTTTTTGCTTAATTATTTTTTAGTCAAATAAATAAATGAACAAGATTTATCCTTAAAATTTTAATGGTTGAGATTTAAAACATTTACAATGGCTACATACTACCTTAGGCCATTATCACGTGTTAGGGAGTTTTTCATAGAATCTGAGTTTTTATTATGTAATTTCCGATAAAAAAATCCAAAAAATGTTATTTCATTCTTAACAACCAATTTCATGATGCATTATTATTATTATTATTATTATTATTACTAGTTCTATAATACAGTGAAATCATTATATGGAAGAAGAGATCGAGTGACTAACCATTCTAAGGATAAATTTATAAATTCGATATTATAATTTTTTTTTGGTGAAGGAATTTGATAATATAATGTAGTCTATTAATTTGAATTTCCATTACATTTGCTCTCTTTTAACCAGGAATGCATGTTACGCTATGCAAACCGCATGATCTTCTCAACTATGGAGCTCACCCCAAACTATACGAATTGCGACATGGTCTATTATACCAACCGTAATATCAAAGAGGCTGTCAAGTCAACCCTCGAATCACTAGTCGACGAAGCAACCAAGGAAAGTAAATCATCGAGTTACTTTGCATCTAAGCCTATGATTCGTATAGTGGATAGGTACTTCTACTTTTTGGTGCAGTGTACACCAGATCTAAGCAGGGTGCAATGCAAGGAATGTTTGACGAATGCTTTAAATTTCACGGTCGAATCGTGTGCGAGTGATAACCGATTAGGAGGTCATATTACGGCGCCAAGTTGCGAAATGAGATATGAAGATAAACTTTTCTTTAATGTATCGTCGTTTAACCATAATTATACTCCGCGTCCAGTGAAGTCCATGTCTACACTTACTATGATTCTCTTAATAGGTTCTTGTGTTGTACTTGTGGTGTTAGTTAAGATGTGTTTGCAAAAGATCTTAAATTGGTGTAGAGAAAGAACAAGGTTTTGAGTGAAGTCTTAAGTGAGAAGAGGGATCTTTCAGGGAAGATCTCAAGATGCAACTATTAGAGGGAATAGTTGTAGGGAGTATGAGTTCAATTTGTTGAGGAACTCGATAGAGGCTCAAGTTCCTCATAGGTTGTAATAGAGTAGTTGGCCTATTTTAATGGAATGTTTTGAGTCAAAATTCCTTGTGGACGAGGTTTTTCACTTTCTATTAGGCCCAAGAAGTTTTCCTCGTAAAATCTCTCTTGCACTATTTCTCTCCTTGCGTTAAGTTTATTTTAATCTCGCAAAAAGTACGTGACTAGCAAGCTCAATACTACAATTCACTCCCATCTTGCAGTATTTCATCTAAGTAACAGTTCAAGATTAGATAATGAGACTCTTTGTATCCTGTTCGAATGCTAGCTTAGCCTGATCGATGTGCCAAGCTTCACCTATGAGTACGTAGATAAGACGGGTGATGGAGTTCAACGACGCCTCATGTCAATGATGAAAAGCTTTGTTTTTTTTTTTTTTTCCTCATCTTTTAATTTTGTTTAATGTAAGGATATTTTTTGTTTTTTTTAATCAATAAATAATGTAATAATAATTTAATACTAAACGTGTTTAATTTTCTTAAAACAATTGTGTCGATTGTGCAAGAAACAACCGACGACAGTGGCACCATCCTAGTTGTTTGCGCTCTGAAAATGGTATATTTGAGGACTCATCAATGTCGTTTTGCTGTATATATATGAAGGAGGATAAAGAACGAAGTATAAAGTAAAATGTAAAAAATATTATTATATTGCTGGCTTGCTATTACAACTGCATACACAGCTTGGTCCTCCCACACCAATAAAGTGTTGGCTCATTTAATAAGGTTATTACATCAGATTCTAAAAGTCAGGGGTTTGAACCCTACTAATATTTACCAAAGGAGGTTATTATTTGGGGGCCGGGTAGAGATCCTTTACACTTGCCTCTACTTCCTTGTGGCTGGCCTACAAATATTGCCATCAAGGTTGAGGTCTAGTCAGGAACCTCCTTTCTATAAAAAATAAATAAATAAAAATTGATCCTCCAAACAAAGTATGTGCAAGACTGCAAGTATGAAAATTTTAAGGCTGTCATCAAGTATGGTTTTCAAGCTTAAATGATTAAATTACAGACTAAAGCATATACCCTCTATCCCTTCATAATTTTATCCTTTTAACTTGTATCCAAAACTCGTTACGTAAAACATAAATATTCACAATTTTGTATGTTTTAAAATTATAATTTATTATCGATATTCTAACAATAGACATATTAAACATAACTAACAAGCAGAATCTCTCAAAACACTACAGAGTATATATTTTATTAATTTGACATTAGTGAGAACTCTTATTCTTAATTTTTTAAAGCTTGACCCAACAAAATGCAATGGAGCAAATTTCAAAAGATGGAGACTGGAGAGTACTATGTATAAAATGTTAAATACTAGATACATGGTGATTGATGCGTAAATATTTTGTATAAAGCACTTAAGCACATACTCCACGTACCTTATTATTGGCCACTAATATTTTCTTAATTGTGATCATATTTACTATGGAGTACTATCCAAAAAAAAAAAAAAAAATATATATATATATATATATATATATATATATATATAATATAATATAATAAAATACAAACTGGATCATATTTATGCAAATAAGATTTAATATGCAAGGAAGAGCTCGTCAAAAAAAAAAAAAAAAAAAAATGCAAGGAAGATATAGGAAACTTTCTACTGACCATAACATTATAAGGGACAGGTGAAACAAAGTGTATGGAAGACGACGTATGAACTATGAAACATGATTCTTGCACCACCAACTAGGAGCTGAGTCAATCGAATATTAATCATAATATCTTTTTAAGGTAAGAACCTTGACTATACCTCAACTCTCACATTATCACTGCCCTAGGAGAAGTACTACTAGCCATATTCTATTATAATATTTGATAAAGTGATGGAGACATTATACTTTCCCTGCCATTTGGATTTGGTTTAATTTGGTAATGACTTCAATTTAAATTAATTTAATGATTTGTAGGCTAGATTATGAAGGACACTATTAATTAATAATAATGTACTACGTATTATGGATACCAAATATACAGCGAGTGCTTTCATTAACCTTTAGCTATAAACAAACATGTAATGGAATACGGCAGGCCAGGGTATATCGCATATGTGTGGTCCGTTGAATATAATAAAATCATATTTAATTAAGCATATTCCATTTATGTTAATACTACAATATTGTAATGCATTTTAGGGGAGATTATGATACGTAATTTGAGTTGTATACACCCTGTTTTCTTTTCTCCGGAGACTTTCAAATGAGGGCGGGGTTTAGTCGTTTAGAAATTATTCATGAAACTATTATAATTATGCCGAATTTAATTAATTAGTGTTATAATCATTCTTGCACTAAAGAATCAAGTCATAATTGGAGTTTAATTTAGATAATTTTAGTATTGATTTTGCTGATGATGGGAAAGAGGTATGTTTCCTTGGTCAAATATATTTGAATATAATCGAAGTTATTACTTCCTTGCCACTTCAAAACAATAATGAAATAGCTAATATATAATAGAAAATTACAAATATCTTTATATTTGATAATACCTAAATGTACTACGTCAACATCAAACACGAACCATTGACCTTTAGATTTGTATACCTTCCCAAAATCAAATACGAACCATGGTATCGTCAAGCTTTCATGGCTTCCAAATAACATTTTGTTTCCTCTTTATTTTCACTTTCGGGCTTTATTGTGTTTCTTCGACTACTCAAGCTATTGATGAGGAGTTTGTGAGAAATGATTGGGAATGCGACGATACCAAGGGCACCTATACTAGTAATGGTACTTTTAGTTTAAACCTTAAACTTGCATTTTCGAATCTCACGGCCCTCTCTTCTTCACACATTTTCTCCAACGTGACGTTCGGATCAGATGACGATGAGGCTAACAAAGTCTACGCCCTTTATGACTGCCGGAATGATATTCCCCTTGATAAATGTCACCGCTGCATTGACGACGCCATCGAGAGTATTCTAGATCTTTGCAATGTTCAACCCAAAGAGGCTATTGTCATATATGAGGTAATAATTGTGTAATCATTCATGTATACAATTTTTGCAGATTTCCAATATTCTAGATGATTTAATTTGATGATATAAATATATAATGACGTCTGATCTATTAATTTTAACCAGGAATGCATGTTACGCTATGCGAATCGCACGATCTTCTCAACTAAGGAGCTCACCCCAAACTATACGAGTTGCGCCCTAGAATATTACACCAACCGTATGATCAAATTGCCGGTCAAGTCAAACCTTGAAACACTAATCAATAAAGCAACCAAGGAAAGTTCATCATCGAGTAACTTTGCAACTAAGTACGTGAGTGATATAGTAGGAGATAGGTTCTTCTACTTTTTGGTGCAATGTACACCAGATCTAACCAAGGTCCAATGCAAGGAATGTTTGACGGATGCTTTAAATTTCACGGTCGATTCGTGTGCGAGTTATAATCGATTAGGAGGTCAAATTAAGGGGCCAAGTTGCCAAATGAGATATGATGTTAAACGTTTCTTTAATGTGTCTTCGTCCGATTATAGCTCTACTCCTATGAGTTCCAAGTCCAAGGCTAAGCTTTCAGTCCTTATCATAATCATCTGTGTTGTTTTTTTCTTTGCATTGTTGGTTAGGATAATTTGCCGAAGAAGATCTTAAGTTTGTCCAAGTTTATACTTCCTCCGTTCTAGTAATATTGCAACAACGGGACTTTTACACTATTTATCACGTTTGTTTGACCAAATATTATGATATATACGTAAAGAAAATATAGTCAAGTGAGGTCTTGTTAGATTCGTCTCGTAAAATACTTTCACAATATCTACTTTTTATAATTTTTACTCTTATATAATTATAGATAATTAGCATATAAAATGTACTTTGAAATTCGTAATTTCATCCTTATTGCAATATTTGTGGAATAGAGGAAGTAACTTTTAGACCTATTAAAACTGTATTTGTGAATTGTGAGAAGATACCTTTAAAAAAGGAATCTTATTTTCATTTTCTAGTGGAAAAATCCAAATTAATTTCAATCTTCGACTTGTCTTATTTCCGATACTTTAAGCATTATATGTAATATATAAATATAAATGCTTGCAATTTGTCCATATGTCTAATATAACTAAAGCGGTAATTTTGTCTGTTTAATTGAATCTATATATATCCAGTTAACGAAAAAACTAAAGTGGAGTCCATTACTTATGGTTTTCATACCAAGCAACGTTTGACTGAAATTTACCTTAGATCATAGAGGTGTAGGGTTTGAATCTTACCAAGGGAGGGCACCTAATGCTCGATCCTCTAATTCCCCACTCTCACTTTCACTCTTTCTCTCTACCTATATATCTCCATTCTTAGATTTCCTATGGTTCATACTTTTCTCTTTTCGAAATAAAAATATTAGACTAAAGGTCATGCAAAATTATTAGGCAAGCTCCACAAATTGATAAGGTGAGTTGTTAGGTTATTTGCAAGTTGATAGAAAGAAAGAGTGAAAGTAGGGATTTTTTGGGTAAAAATATGGAATCATTAATTGCTACTCATGCATGCATACTTTTCTTTAGTTGTTACTAATTTTCGTTCTATTGATCATATTATAATTTACATAAGACAGCTAAAGTTAGTTTAGCAACATCATACAATAACTTATTGATAATATACAATAATGCGGTACATTTCCTTTAGTCAAACATAGGTGGATCGAAATTACTTCCCTCCCACTTCGATCTAAACAATAATAAAATAGCCAATATAAAAATTCTTTATACGAGTATATTCTATTTGTTTTTGCAAAATAATCCACATGAACAAGGTCAACGTCCCTAGCTTGTTAAATACGAGGCTAAATTGAACCTTCAGATTCATGTACCCTGTCAAAATTAAACACGAACCATGGTTTCATCACCTTATCATGGCTTCCACATAATTTATTGTTTCCTCTTTATTTTAACTTTCTGCCTTTGTACTCCTTTGACTACTCAAGCGACGAGGGAGTTTTGGCCAAGAGAATGGGAATGTGACGATACCAAGGGCACCTATACTAGTAATAGTACTTTCAGTTCAAACCTTGGAATTGCATTTTCCAATCTCATGGCCCTCTCTTCTTCACACATCTTCTCCAATGTCACGGTCGGATCTGATGACTATAAGGCTAACAAAGTCTACGCCCTTTATGACTGCCGGAATGATATTCCCCTTGATAAATGTCACCGTTGCATCAAGGATGCCGTCAACAGTACTATAGACATTTGCTATGATCAACCTAAAGAGGCCGTTATCATATATGAGGTAATAATAGAGTGTACTCTTTCGTTTTTCTAATTATGAATCTTTCTATTTCCTATATAGTGTTCATATAGAATGATTATATTATGTTAAATTATTCCGTTCATTGTTAGAAACCAATTTCATGATGCAATATCAATAAATTTTTATTACTAGAGTCCTATAATAATAGAGTAAAATAATGCATCCAATAATAACAGTGGTATAACGCATTCAATTCAAGTTTTATATGTCTCAAGTACCTTCTAGTACATACCTTTATAAGTAACATTTATGAACAATATATATAATACAATGACTGTTAGTGGACCGTATCAACCACAAGTTTAAGCTGATGGATGAGGCCTATGAATGTGTTTTATACTATATCATGTCTCTTAATATTAATTACCGTACACATGTTCTTTTAACCAGGAATGCATGTTACGCTATGCAAACCGCATGATCTTCTCAACTATGGAACTCACCCCAAACTATACGAATTGTGCCCTAGTCTATTTCGTCAACTATGGGATCAAAGTAGAAGTCCAGTCAATCCTCAAATCACTAATCGACAAAGCAATCACGGAAAGTTCATCATCGAGTTACTTTGCTATTAAGAATGGGACCGTAATAGCAGATAGGGACTTCTATTTTTTAGTACAATGTACACCAGATCTAAGCAAGGTACAATGCAAGAAATGTTTGACGGATGCTTTAAATTTCACGGTCGAATCGTGTGCGAGTGATAACCGATTATGGGGTCAAATTAATGGACCAAGTTGCCAAATGAGATATGATGTTAATCCTTTCTTTAATGTGTCGTCGAGCCTTATTTCACCCTCGCATTCACCTCCTCTAAATGATCAAAATACAGAAATTTCAGGTCAACCTTCACTGGTTTCGATCCCAAAGCTTTCTTACTCTCTTTTTATAATTTTTATGTCTCTATTGTATGTAATACAATAATACTACTTGTATGACTTTTGTATGTGTGAAAAAGAGAAGACATTCCGTCCCTGGATGTACACAGTATTAATAATAATAATAATAATAATAATAATAATAATAATAATAATAATAATAATAATAATAATAATAATAATAATAATAATAATAATAATAATAAGACATTTCGACCAATTCAAAGAATTGAAATTGTACAACAAATCACCGTCTACTACATAAACGAGGCTGATGCAACACCTAAAATCCGTTGCAATAGAGCCGAAAATTGTTGCAATAAACCTAATGCAACGGTCCGTAGACCATTGCTGTTGTAGCCGTTGCATTAGCGTTAATATGCAATGATTTAGTATACCTAATGCAACAGTCCTTTATCTTCTTCAAGGGTCGTTGCATTAGGTCAATAATACCAATTTTTCCTAAAATATACTTGTAAAACAATTTTGTTTTTTGGTGGACATTAAAAGTAGGGATGTCAATGGGGCGGGGCGGATGTTGGCCTTCCCATCCCCATCCCCATCTAAAATTTTCATATCCATCCCCATCCACATCCCTGTGGCGGGTCTAAAATTCATCCCCATCCTCGTCCCGGCGGGTGCAATTCCAAAACCATCCCCGCCCTAACCCCCATTTAGATATCCACCCCCACCTTATCCCCATCTCCCAAATACACAATCCTTCATAATTAATAAAGATTGCAAAAAGAAAAAATTATTGTTAATAAACATGTCTTATGATAGTATTGTTTATAATATAAGTGTATTACAAAGTACTATATTTACTATTTTATTTTACATAAGTTTTTTTTATAAAATAGTATAAAAGTATATAATTTTGTTTTAAAAAATATATGGATGTGGGGATGAGACGGGTACGAAGTGGGGTAGGTGGAGATGGGGCGGGTGGGGATGGGGCGGGTGGGGCGGGGCGGGTGCAACCTAAAATCCACCCCCGCCCCATCACCCATGACGGGTCTCCTATTTAACCCACCCCACTGACATCCCTAATTAAAAATCCAATTTAATTTCAATCCTTGACTCATCTAATCTCCTGCTGTAATGCACGCTCCATATTCACTCTCCCCTCTCTTCCTTTCTATCAATTTACAAATAATGTTTTTTTTTTTTTTTTCATGTGACAAGAAATTTGCAATTAATGTTTAAAACTTATTTTTAATAAATCTAGTATATAATTATTAACTTGCCTTATCAATTTGTAGAGCTTGCCCAAATTTTGCATGACCTAATGTCTAATTTTTGAAATTGGAAGAGTATAGCTCTGTTTATTTGAACTTATTTTTTAGGATTTTTGTCCAATTCAATTCATATCATTTCAATAATAATACAGAGTAATAAAAGACTTGTAATCAGAGGAATTATAACATTACCAAATTAAGAAACTTGAACATTAAGGTAATTACTAATTGCATTGTTACGATCTATTACATCCCAATTTCACCTAACAACACGTAACTTACACAAGTACTTTACAATAGCTTGCATACTTGGTAGGCGCTGAAAATGTTCAAGTCATCGCATTGTGAAGCGAGTTAATTTCAAACCATCAGCACTATCGTACGTAGGATCATTCATCAATTCTCTATGCACTAATGGTACCTCGGATTTACACAAGGAGGAAGTAATATATCTCTCGTCGTACTCCAACATCGCCCATTATCGATCTAACGTCTCACATTCTAATGTATGGCGTTTACAATTGGGGCATTGATGAACTCTTTTGGATATCAACGCAAAAAGTGTTAGTCCATAATTTTCAACTGTTGATCAACAAAATGATAGGGTCATTATTAAAGCAAAATTAAAAAATAAGACTAATGTTGAACATGTAAAGCATCAATCAACAGGTTGTACTAGCATACCATCATCGTCACTCCTGGTAGGCTCAAGCGATTTTCCAATACTGTAGTCATACATGTCTTCTTTTGTATAATGACCGGATTTCCGGTTGAAATTGAATAATACTGGCATATAATTCTGCAAAGTTAATTTATAAAGACAATCTATCATAAAAAGCATATAAGAAATATTCCACATTCTTTTGTGATTAAAATATTTTCATTGTAACTATTTAAAAAAAATCAAAACAATTAATTAATTAAATGTAATCAATTCCACAAAGACAAAATCCATATTTTGTTCTCTTAAAATCAATTCTAACAATGCTCTAGAATTTGAAATACATAGGCACACTAATTATTAGCATGCATGACTCAAATTCAAATTGACGTAAACCTAAATAACTCGACCCAAACCGGACCCCAACCAATGACCTTAACAAAATGCGGAAATAAAAAGTATTACAATTAATGACGAAGTGAGTATATGAGACAGTTCGAAATAAAGTCACATTTCTCAAATAAAGAAATTGTGCAGTTAAAAGAATCATGTCATTAGGGCAAGCAAGTGGCTTAAGAAGTCTATCACAGGTAGCAATTTCAAGAGGTTTGCTTACTCGTCGTTTTCCTAAGAAGATGACTTAATATGTGCTCCAAACAAGCATGATAAACAAATCAGTGAATCATGAAGGAAATATATATAATAAGAAATAAAAAACACGAAACAAAAACGATATAGGCAAAGGAAGGGGTAAATACAAGTTTCTCATGATGAGAAACAAAAACTGTTCATGACATTTTCGTAAATAAACAACAACTTTATTCAATCACCATCAGTTGTGGAGCCCACAATAATGAAAAAATTGTTAATTTATTTACGAAATGTCATTGGAGCCCAGTTTCTCATACTGATGCTAAGCTTATCACTTAACAGAATGGGGAAAAGAAAAAAAAAATGGACAGTATGGACTACAATCTACATACACGAAAACAAAGCATCGTGTAATCCTTGTGTTCATTGTACGTATAACCCATTTCTTCACAACAACATTCTTAGCTGGTGAATCATCTGCATCAGATTCATAATGTTTTCCACGATACACCTTAAACTCCTCAGTTCTTGCTAATAAGTTCTCATTACTGTAGTAATTGGTGCAAAGCTTATAATTATCAAAGCACATCTTCTGAGGGAGCACTACCCTTCGTTGCAGTTGTGTTGAAAAACAATTCTTTTCTTCTATTTATCAAAAAAGTAGCACAAGATAAGTAAGCATAGTGTAAAATCTATACATGTGTAGTGTGAAACTGTTAACCATAAAATCCCACATCGAAATTAGTATTGTGGGATGAATTACTCCAACTGTAAATTAATTTCTGTCTGAGGTGGAATGTGCTCTGTTACAGATACAGGGGATATAAGAAAAATTATAGGAGTGATGGGAGAACAATATATAACCTGAGGAGAAGAAACCGCTACGATGAGAACAATGGGGGTATGCAGAAATTTTTAGTTCACAAGTCCTTGAAACCATTGGAATTTTCAAGTATTATTTTAGCGAGTTTTATTTCAAGTATTTGAGCAAAAATTGTTTTTTTCGTGCAAATGAGTAGAGAAGGTAGTTCATTTTGTGCAAAAGAGTAAATAATTATATGATAACCAATTCTACGGTACAACTGATCTTATGACAAAATTGAAGCTAGTGTAAAACTGCAAAGTAAGCTATTGATGGGTGTAAATCAAATTGATACGGAGCAATTGAGAACACGTTGTTATCACGATTAATTTCTTCCAAAGTTACAGTATAACATATATTTTGCTAAGAAATTGATATTAGTTTCTTCTCTTATAAAAATATACTATATAGTTTACAAATCTTATTTTTCATATAATCGAGAGCTACTTCACTTGGCACAAACTTGAGCCGATACTTGTGCCATCCGATCTATGTGAATCCCTGCGTTACAAAAGTTTGCGAATGCTCGAGCGTACTTCTTTCCATAGGATTGTAAGGATCCACAATGCTCTTCATAAGTACTTACCTACATACCATAATTAACCATTCAAATTAAAATCTAGCCATATAAAAATGCACGTCTAAAATCAAATTTTAAGTGAAGGTACATTATATTTGGTAACCATTATATTGATCATTCTAACCTACCGTGATTGTAAGGAAAATAAAAAGGTTATATAGTACGTACCATTGCTTTGAAGCAATCCCAATCATCAACAAGAGGGGTTCCTGCTGGTCTATTCTTTGTAAGATATGAAGGACCGCGCGATTCACCAAATAATTGTTTTGCAATTGCTTGCACGGTTTGATCCACATGTTTCCTTTGTGAAATCACATCATCTAAACGCTTTTGAGCCTCAATTTTTTGTTTAGAGCCTTCGGGAGCTCTTCGGACCTATTAAGAAATCGACAATGTTGTGAGAATTACAATGTTATCCTAGAAAATTAATATTGTTTGATCCAATTAGAGATTGATACCATTTCTTTGAAGTAAATAAGATCAGCTTCGCGTTGCTCAACCACGTACAATGGAGTAATTGGCTCGGATTGGTTGGTCATGGAGTAAGTTTGATTTGGCTTCCTAGATTCCAAAGCAATGTAAAGAGAAAGATAATTTGAACTCAAGTGAACGTCACCATATTCACTTACATGAGACATTTCACTTGTCCTGTTTTTCACCTACATGATTACAAAGTTGATTGTCTTAGATCTTGTTAATTTGCACCATACAAAAACTAAACTGCTACAAAGTTAGATTTGTATATTTTGCCTATTAGATTATGTCAAAATCCGAGAGGTAACATGAAAAGATCGAATGAAGCCTTAATCTTACCACGGCGAATTGTTGTCTCAAAGTCTCGTTTCTTGGATCTTTTCTTTCACTGTTGAATATAACAAAAAGAAACTAAACTTTAGTTTGCATAAAGATTGAACTATTGCACGCACATAACCCCCTTTAACTTATACAATATACCACAAATCATGCATGAGCAAGAAAAACTCTAGTTAATTCTATCTTGATATATATAATTAAAAAAAAAAAAAAAAAAAAAAAAAAAAAAAAGAATAGAAAATTTTAATTACTTGTGCATTTCAATATTTCATAAGCATTTTTTTTTTACCTATCTTCCATCCAAGAGATACTATACAAGTCACCCAAACATGTATTATTGTATTCCGATGGGACGCCAGGGTCTCCATCACAATAGGTTGCGTAACTACTCTCGTCGGGGTTTGACGCGGTTGTTGCATATATGCTTAGGTTATTTGGCAAAAGACCATCAAAAATACTTCCAGATTCACAAGCTTCAAGGTAAATAACCTATAAAGGCATAGATTAATTGAGCGCATAATGTCAATAACATACATAAATTAATGTGAATATTTATATGACAATTAAATTTGGCAAGAAATGTTAATTAGCTAAATTGATCTTACCATGGATTTGTAGGTATTTGAAGCATGCTTCTTTTTCAAAACTTCTATGAAATCCTTGGCGTAAATTGCAGGCTCGTTTTGAGGCATTCCTAGTGTTTCATACAGAGGGGAAAAAAATCACTTCATAAATTTGCATTGTATACAACATGTGATTTACACCATGCAAAAATATAATATGCATTTATAATATATTAATAACTATATATTAAATGAATAATTAAAATAATTGAATTTACATTTATTATGGCCTATTTGGATCAACTTATCTAGACTTTTTCTTAGATAATAAATATTTTTTGACAATTTAGACATACATATCAAGATTGTTTTCACACAATTTCACATACAAATGTAATAAATAATTTCTGACAAGATACAAATAAGTCCATATAATTTTATCAAACTAGTATATATAAGCTCTAAAGCTCATATAAATTAAATTTATGCAAATATAATATATATAATCAAACATAGCTTAGTCTCTCTATCCAAAAAAATAATGTACTCCATAAATCATCGGTTTTTCATTTAAAATTTGTCCAAAATTAATAATCGACTTTTTTTTTTTTTAGGAATTAATAATCCACTTAAAAGCAAGATACCCAAAACAAAAATATTGATAGTAGTAATTTACCAAGCATCCCTGCAGAACCATGGTCAGAGTAGAATATGAAAATGTGATCATTTGGACCGCTGTCCAAAACCTTTCCACTACCTCCTTTGATGGCTTTTTTATAACCAAGTATAGCCGCGAAGAAATTTTTAGTAGTCAAATTTTTTCCTGTATAATCCTGTTCAAACCAATGTAATGTTTGAGCGTGGCAACTGTAATAATTTTTCACATGCAACCGTTGTATATGATACGATTACGTAGTTATATGCCACTATATGGTACACGGCACACACATAAAACATACAGAGTATAAATTACTCTATTTTCTAATAAAAGGTTTTTTTTTTTTTCGAGAAATTGATCTTAAACAATATTAGCTTTTTCACATCTAAACAATACATTCATATTTACAATTTTTGACCATAAATTTTCATTGCTATTTAATTAAAACCATATATAATCGAAAATTTTTTTTTTTTTTTAGGACACAAAAATTTTGTTGAATTTAAATCAATGTAACATCTTTAAACAATAATATATATATATATATATATATATATATATATATATATATATATATATATATTATTGTTTAAAGATGTTACATTGATTTAAATTCAACAAAATTATATAACTTCATCTTTTTAGTTAAGTAAAATAGTGAAAGTATTGAAAAAAAAAAATTATTTCATTTAATTACAGAGAAAGTACTCCAGTCGTCCCATTTTAGTAGTCATATAAAGGAAATTAAAAAACATATTTATATGAGAGAATCAAACCTTAGGAACATTTGTATAAACGTTTCTGCCAACTGGTCTATTTATAATAACACCTTGGTTAGGATTATCTACGTTAAATGCAATGTCGTCATACATGAAGACGATAATATTTTCATCTTTGAGACCGCCCTTCTTCATCACTTGGTATGCATGACAAACATCTGCCTGCAAATTATGTATATAAACAAAATGTACTTGTATATAATAAAAAATTATGGAAAAATTGGTTTAATTAAGCTATAAAAATGTGCTCACTTAGTAACAAAAATAAATGTACCTGATGCCTATAATTTTCGTAACCACTAGAGCCAGCTATTAAAATTGCCCATTTTTCCCCTCCATTCAAAAAAACATCGGAATTATTTGACGAATCTAGAGACAAGTCATCAAACACTTTACTTGTAAGACGACATTCAACACTTAAGGAGAAAAACAATGCAAAAATTATGACTGTCAATTGGATTATCATCAAATGACAAGAATTTTTCCTCATTGGAATTTTTATGAATTTCTAAAAATATAAGCTAATATTTTGTTGTATGATACGTATAATGAGAAGTAAGAAGCTATTTTATAGGCAAAAAAGTTATTTACTTGAAAATGTCAATTTTAAATTTTATGATATTTTATAAATTATGTGGTCCATATAAGTATATTACTTGTTGCATTGTAACTCTAATCTAACCAAATGTATCAAGAGCAACAAACGTTATGCACATTTCACTACATGAAATGCTGGAAAAGTATCAACAAAATGTGCAACAAATGTAATTTGCGTGCAAGTTGCAATCAAGTTTATGCTATATTTAACAAACAAATAAAACTGATTGTATGCAAAAGTGCAAAGACTTGATTTCTTTTCACACAATGACTTGATTTTTTTTCATAAATTTGTGATCTCTTTCCTTGTTTGATGATTTGGTTTTTTTCCATGTTGTAATTTAGGCAAATTGAAGTTTTAATTTAGATTAGAAATGTTAAAATGGTCGGTGGATTTGATTTTGGGTCGAACAGGTTCGGGTAGTTTTGGTCTTACTTAATCATGTTTCAAAATGCTCGATCTCAGTCGGTCACGCAAACGTCCTTTTCGTTATTTCAAATTATGGTAATTTTTTTTAAAGTTTATTTTGATGTATAAACTAGTGTAGTGCCTCTTACAAATTACTTGTGTAACATTAATTTTGTAGAAAAATACAAAACTATTTTTAATTTGGTTAAATAAAACTATTTCAAATTAGGCCAAAAGCTAATGAACGTCCTGAGAGCGTTGGATAAGATAGCTAAAATTAGAAATATTAGATTAAAATGAACATTAATTACACCAATCGACGCGTGATTTTGACATGTACTATCAAATTAATACTATTTTAGGAAATATTTTTAATGCTTATCTAATACCCCAGTGGTGTTCGTTAGCAAGATTCCTCAAATTGTTGGTAACAAATAAAACAATTTTAATTGGGTGAGTAATATTGTTACTCCGTTAGTAGACTACTTTATATTAATAAATAAATCATCAAATCGCTATGTAATCGCAACAATACTCATACATTACCAAAGATGGATCTAGAAAATTATTATAGGGTGGGCCAATTTAGATTTTAAAAGAATAATTGGGAAAAGGGCCAAATTAGTTTTATAAAAAAATTGATTAATTGGATTAAGAAAATAAGAACAAAGGGATTTGAACTCACATTCTCAACAACATACATTGCATGCATAACCAACTAAGCTACCTTTTATTTTCTTCATTTAAAAAAAGCATTATATATTAATAATTAAATTGATCCAAGGGATCCCTCATGTTCAAGCCTTACAACACACTTTAAGATATGTTGCAGTTTCTATTGGTCAAGGCCTGTGATCAGCTTACTCTCGAGGCTTTTTGTGGCTTCTTGTCCACCATCAAGATAATTTGTTACTGGTTATGTTCTTCTCCTTGGTAACTCTTTTGTTTCATGGAAGTCTAAGAAGCAAAGTATAATTTCAAAGAGTTCCTCTGAAGCAGAATATAGAGCTATGACACATGCTGCAAGTGGGGTTACTTGGATAGGCAGGTTGTTTGGTGACTTTGGCATGGATAATTTGAATCCTGTTAGGTTGTATTGCGATAGCCAATCTGCCATTCACATAACCAAGAACCAGATTTCCATGAACGAACAAAACATATTGAGCTGGATTGTCATTTTACCAGATGTTTGGGTCCAATTTAGTCCAATTGGGCCTGGTCACTGAATGATCCAATTAAAAGCCCAAGGTTAAGGTTCAACTCTCCAAATGTGCTAAAGTCAAAAATCAACATCCTCAAAGCCATGTCAAGGTCAGTCAACGGCCCAATCAGCTTGGCCCAGCCCAACTGACTTCCGGGCCCAATCCGCCTCCTTCATTAGCCAAGGTATAAAAGCCAACAATTTGGTCAATTCTTGGTAAGACAATAAAGCCTCAAGCAACTAAACTCTTGCACAGCTTTCTCTCTCTAATATACTGACTTAAGCATCGGAGGGGCCTTCCTCGGCGTCCCCCCCGAGGCTAGTTTACGTGTATTTGTTGTGCAGGAAACCCTCGGCTCCTGCGTCGTTCGGACCGAGACCAAGTTCCCTCAAGATAAAAGGATCTTCCGAGATTCGATTGTTTTCATCCGAAACAATTTGGCGCCGTCTGTGGGGAACGCTACTAAATTTCGCGTCAGTCATCAAACACTCCGGCAGTCGCCATGACTAAGAGTGGAAAGAGTTCCAAGAAGGCTAAGAAGGGAGGAGGCCGGATTACGGTGAGGGAACGCCAGCCGGTTTATCCCTCCCCGGAGCAAGCCTCTTCCGAATCGGAGGCCCCCATTTCTCCGGAAAGGGAAGCCTCAAGAGGTCCTAGCCTCCAGGAGGAGAACACCTCGCACCACACTCGGCAGCCGGGGCCATCCCCGAGACCGAGTGGCTCAGGTGCGAGGAACTCCCCGCCGCGCCATAGCGTGCAATCCAGGTCACATCCGCGGGAGACTCCTCCCTCCGGACCCTCCACCGAGGAAGTGGCCAGAGCAGTGGCCATCTGCATGGAGTTCCTAAAAGCTCAAGGGGCTCCAATCCAGATGCCTGATGATCACCAGCCGAGAAACCTGAAAAGGAGGATCGGTCAGGATGATGGTGGACAAGTTCCACCACATAGAGAGCTCGGCCAGAGGTGGCGAGGGGACACCCGAAACTCCAGTAAGGAGAGGAGGAGGAACCCTCAACCCTCTGACCACTCTGAAGCTCAGAATTCCATGGGGCCCTCCAAGGACCCGGAATTCGCCCGCCAAAGCGTTCACGAACGCTTGGGTTCGAGGGAGGTGAGTGTGCATAGCCGCCTCACCTTCCCAGAGGATACCGGACCCCACCCAACCTTGTCTCAGCCGGGGACGAAAACCACTTCCACCTCTGAGAGAGGAGGGAGCGAGGTCCCTGAGGCCGGGTACAAGGGGAAGGCGGTCATGGTTCCATCGAACTCGCCCTTCCAAAAGTGGATTCTGGAAGAGCATGTGCCAACGGTCAAAATCCCGGCACATATTACTTACGATGGTACCTCAGATCCTAAGGATCACATTGCCTCTTACGAGGGGCACATGTATCTGAACCCGAGGTCTGAGGCTACCTGGTGTAAATACTTTCCTACGACCCTCAAAGGTGTTGCCCAATCCTGGATCACCAAAGGGCTCAAGGAAGGCTCCATAACCGGTTGGAACGACCTCTCCAACAAGTTCAAGAGCAAATTCTCTACGGCCAACCGCCGAGAGAAGACCACTGCAGAGCTAATGAGTCTGCAGCAGGCGGAGGACGAGAGCCTCCGCGACTATCTGACTCGCTTCAGCAACGAGTCATCCGGAATCACAAGCCTGGATCAAGGCCTGGCCGTGTTCGCGCTACGGAACGGCCTCCAAGCTGGAAAGTTCCTGGACTTCATGGTCATGCATCCCCCGCAGACCCTGGAGGAAGCCTTGGAAGCATCGGATAGGTTCATCCGAGCCGAGGAGTGGAACAGATCCAGGTCTCAGTCTCGTCCGAGAATTGAGAAGCCGAAAGGGCAGCAGCCCGAAGTCTCGGCGCAGAGGAAAGGGAAGGCTAAGGCCTCAGAACCGTCCTCTGCTGCCGAGCCGAAGAAGGAAAGACACTTTCCCTACACGGGAAGGTACGATTCATACACTCCACTCTCCCTTCCCCGTGCTAAGATTTTCAGCACGACGAAGGACGAGGGGAGATTCAAAAAACCTCGTCCGTTGCCTCCCTGGCATCAGACGAGGGGAAAGGACCAGTGGTGCGAGTTCCATGACTCACCCGGACATCGCACCGAGGACTGCGTCCAGCTGAAGGACCAGATTGAGGATCTGGTCCGCAAGGGGTACCTGAGCCAATACCTCGCGGACAGGCGCGAGGAGAAAAAAGCTGAAAAAGATTCTCGGCAGGACCTCAACTTCGCTCGGAAGAAGGATAAGGGACCTCAGGGCAAGGAGTCCCTCGACATCCTAGTTATTTCCGGGGGAATCTCGCGAGGCACAGCCAAACGCCAACTGAGGGGTCTAACCCATCAGATTCATCAGGCTGAGCTTCGGCAGTCCCAGTCACCGGCGCCGAACATCCTGTTCACAGCCGAAGACTGTGAGGGGGTGGTATACCCCCACGATGACCCACTAGTAATCATTCTGGGCATCGCCAACCGCAACGTCTGGCGGACCCTCGTCGACGGCGGTAGCGGGGCGAACATCCTCTTCCGAGGAGCGTTCGACCAGCTGAGGATGGGAGCCGAGCACCTAGCCCCCGCACCCTACCCGGTGTCTGGATTCAACGGCTCTTCCTCGTATCCTGACGGGAAGATTACACTTCCTGTCACCATCGGCGAAGGCCGAGCAGCTAGGAATATCATGGCCGAATTTTTGGTCGTAGATGCTCCATCTGCATACAACGTGATCATGGGGAGACCCCTCATTCACGGCATTCAAGGAGTCGTCTCCACGTATCATCAAATCATGATATACGTTTCAGACGAGGGACGCTCCGAGAAAATAAAGGGCAGTCAAAAAGAAGCCCGCCGATGCAATCACCTCAAGCCATCCACGTCTCGCCGAGGCGACCGTGGCGATGGGGAGGAAAAGCACCGGGACCGAAACGCCAAAAAGCCGAGAGGCTCAGACGTTTCGGCTAATGAAGCCCCAGACAACGAGAAATCTGATGGGGGCCAAAAGGCTGACTCCGCCTCAGAGCCGAACGACTCTGATGGCCAGCCGTGGTCAGGAAAGTCTGCTAATATTGATAGCAGGCCGGAATTCGAGGAATCCAACTCTAAGAGCATGGAGACGGATGACCTGACCGAGTCAATAGAACTGACCGTAGGAGATCCGAACAGATGTGTTAGCATCGGGTCGTCACTGGAGCCAAACACCCGTGCGGCACTCGTCCAACTCCTACGGGCCAGTGGAGACGTGTTCGCCTTCTCAGCCGCAGAAATGCCCGGGATTGATCCGGACTTCGTCTCCCATAGGCTTAATGTCGACCCCTCCAGTCGACCCAT